GTTCCTGCCTTCGAACTATTGATTCTGGATACGGCCTGTGTGGTTTTATCTTTCCTAATAGCAAGTATGCACTTGTTGGAACTAAAGGTGGAACAATGGAAATTATTGACATTGGTAGTGGCACTTCCATTGAAGTAGTGGAAGCTCATGGTGGCTCTGTTCGTTCCATTGCAGCCATTCCCAATGAAAATGGTTTTGTGACAGGAAGTGCAGATCATGATGTTAAGTTTTGGGAATATCAATTTAAACAAAAGTCTGCCCAAGTATGTATTTTACACCTTCACCTACTTGGAGTTCTAATCTTGTAGTAGTTTCATTATGGTTTTTTTCTTTTGGATACACTACTTATTTCTGGAGCATGATACTCTCTGGGCTTAGTAATCTGATCTATGCTCAGAAGTGGTGCTGTTTATTTATTTCTAAAAGGAAATTATAATATATTAGGCATGCTTTCTGAAATCCATGAAAAGCTTTGATGATATATGAACTCAAATATGTTCTGCTTCTAGGACTTCTGGATGCTTAAGTCATTTCAACAATTAGGAGAATAAATCCCTACCCTTTACCTCAGGACATCTATATTGATACATTTACATATTTGTATGATCATTCATACATATTGGTGCAGGCACTAGGGTATAATTGGATATTTGAAGGGGCCATCATTTAAGGTTTTAAGTGTGCATATATCTATTGAGTGAATGTCGTCATTTTTAATGGGTGTCTTATATCATAAAATTTCATTCTTGATGTTGATGGCCTCCATTTCCTTTTTTTTTCCCTCCTCATAAATGTTACTATGTTTGAAACAGGATTCTAAGCAACTAATGGTGTCAAATGTAAGGACTATGAAGATGAACGATGATGTCCTTGTGGTTGCTGTCAGCCCTGATGCCAAATATATTTTGGTTGCGCTGTTGGATTGCACAGTGAAGGTCAAATTGACTTAGTCTTATCCATTTTGATTTTTGTTTGGATGGTTTCTTCCTAGGTTGTAAACCAACACATTATTTAGTTTTAAATTTCAACTCTCAGAAATGTTGTACATCTGAATATGTGATATCATTATTTAGTTTCACTTTTGTTAGCATATGTGCTCTGAATCTACGTTCAAACGTAATATCTCTCTTTACATGCATTACATCCTTGATTAACTATGTAAAGATAGAGTGTCAGTGGCATCTGAAACTAACATATTGAGGATAAGGATATTAGATTGATTTGACAAACTGATCTTGACATCTTTAACCTCTCTATGATGAAAACTTCTGGTAGGAAATGCTTAGAATTAGCTTTGAACAAATTATAGGGCATGGAGAAAACGTTCTGTAACCTAAAAGTTTATTGTTCCCTTTAATATTATTCTTTTCTCCCTGAAATAGCTTCTTCTAGTATTTTAATATCTGCATTACTTAGTGCCTGTTGTTAACTTATGCATTATGTTTTCTATCCTTAGGTTTTCTTTTTGGACTCGCTCAAACTTTTCCTTTCCTTATATGGTCACAAGCTTCCTGTTCTATGTATGGACATTTCATCTGATGGAGATCTGATAGTGACTGGATCTGCTGACAAAAATTTGAAGATTTGGGGTTTAGATTTTGGTGATTGTCATAAATCCATATTCGCTCATGCTGACAGGTGCAGTTTTTGTATAAATGAACTTAAGTTTAGATGTGTGAAGTTTTTACTAACAATTTTGATGAAATGTTTCCGCAATGCAGTGTCATGGGAGTGCAATTTGTACGAAATACACATTACATGTTTAGTGTTGGGAAAGATCGCCTAGTAAAATACTGGGATGCTGACAAATTTGAGTTGCTTTTAACTCTTGAGGGACACCATGCTGATGTTTGGTGCCTTGCAATTAGTAACCGTGGTGATTTCATTGTCACGGGGTCTCATGACCGATCAATACGTCGTTGGGATCGTACTGAAGAGCCATTTTTTATTGAGGTAATTGCTCCTTGTTGAGAAAAAAAAAGTAATTTCCACCTTAAATTTGTTTTATTAAGTAAAAGTTGATTATGCAGTTTATGTTTTCTAGTGATACTTATGCTTTAGGTTAAAGATGTGACTTCTTTGTAACACGTGTCCTTCCCCTATTAAAATGTTCCATTTGAAATTGCAGGAAGAGAAAGAAAAAAGGTTGGAAGAGATGTTTGAGTCTGACCTCGATAATGCGTTTGAGAACAGGTATGCACCCAACGAAGAAATCCCTGAGGAGGGAGCTGTGGCCTTAGCAGGGAAGAAATCAAAAGAAACAATTACCGCGACTGATTCAATTATTGATGCACTAGATATAGCAGAGGTAGAATTGAAGCGACTTGCCGAACATGAGGTATATTTGGTTTTTTGCTCTATAGTCTCTGTACTAGTTTGATCTCTGGCATGATGTGTATTATCTGTGTATAAATTTACTGGTAGTTTTAACACTTTAACATAACCCAACTGTATCTCAATTCAATTGTTTCACCATTCCTATTCAGGAGGAGAAAAGCAGGGGAAAAGTTGCTGAGTTTCAACCAAATATTGTTTTGCTTGGGCTCTCTCCATCCGATTATGTTCTTCGCGCAGTTTCAAATGTCCAGACAAATGATCTGGAGCAGACACTACTGGTATGCTTGTGGTTTTCCTGACATGAAAACTCCTTAAAACAAGTGAAATTTACTTATTGCAAGCTCAAATTTTTAACAGTTTGACTTGTTTGTTTAGCTGGTTTTAGTCATTCTTCAAATGGAGGTTTTGTCTAGTTTGTTGAATTAATAAATTGGACCTGGCTTTAAAAATCATTGTCAGAATGCATAATCCTTGTCTGTACTTTCCTTTAGCATTTCTTTTATTCACGCCACACAATTTGGCCGTGGAGCTTGTACAACTATATTTATATATTTTAAAATTTTGAATCAGAACTGATGGCAATTATCTACCCCATTGGGATGAACTGATTTAAAAGTCACAGTACTCCTTTCATTGCCTCAAGCCTATTGAACTTCTCTTTCTGGGATTTTACCCTATATTTGTGTATAGTTATGCATGACCTGTAACTTCTCATTTTTAGTTCCGACGTTAACTTGGCTGTCTAATTTGAACTGCATTTATGTACAGGCTTTATCATTCTCAGATGCTTTGAAGCTCTTGTCTTACTCGAAGGATTGGATTTTGCATCCTGATAAGGTTGGTGTCTCTGCACTTGTTCAAATACGTTGGCATCCCTAGATTTTTATTTGTGGCACATGCTTGTGTCTATCTATGCTACACAGTTTTTTCAAGTGTGGTTATTATCTATCATATCATGTAGTTGCTCCAATGTGTTTTTTAAATTGTTTGCAGGTTGAACTCATCTGCAGAGTTGTTACATTGCTAGTACAGATGCATTATAATCAGTTGCATAGTACACCTGCAGCAAGACCTGTGTTGGGTGCTTTGACAGAGATTCATCCGAGAGTTAAGGTAATTGGACTGCCTGCACATTCTTTCATAGAAATTTTACAAGGTTAATGATGCCTTCTCAGAATCAATACTTTTGTGTAGCTAGAATTTAGTGATTAAAGTCTATTTATCTGTTTTCTGTAGAGATGTTGTGTCAATCTTTGGTAATATTTTAATATTGTGGAGAAAAAGCAATTGCACACATATTACTCACATCCACGTGCATATTAGTATACATTTTATATGCTGCAGAGTTTTGCTTTTAACACTTGCTACTACTGCCTCGATCCAGAAGTTACTTGAAATTAACTTAGTTTTTAAAAGAAAAAGTACATGAAGTTCCCTTTTCTAGTCTTAATTTAAGGCTTTCTTATTCCCTCCTAGTGGTGGTGTGTATGTAGTTTCTACGTAAAACTAAAGAAACTTAAATCTCTGTTAACGTCTGAGCATTGAATTTCTGTCAGGAATGCAAAGATATAATTGGTTACAACCTTGCAGCAATGGAGCATATTAAGGTGCGGGCATGAATCTTTGGGTATATCTTGTCTTTTAAGAAAAATAATTTAACTTATTCCATTTCGTGTTTCAGCAAGTGAAGGCTTCAAAATCAGGTGCATTATTTCAAGATGCAAAATCAAAGTTACAAGAAATTCGCGCTCAACATTCTAAGCGACTAGAAACAAAGACAGATCTGAGAGAAGAAAGTGGAAGAAAGAGAAGGAGAAAGAACAAGAATTCAAGTGATGTGCATGTTAGATTGTTCGACAAATGAGTTGAGTCTACTAAAACTGGCTTATTTGAGAAATTCACACCGTGGCGTGTATTAAACCTACTAAATGTGAGAAGAATTCTTCACCGACTGGAAGGGCCTCCGTAATCTGCAATGCTGCTGTCAGTTTCATCAAGGCAGGTATATAAATCTCCTCAAATTGTTTCCATTTACTGCACTGCTGGTGGTCCATCCCAGACTTTCCAACCGGTGGATATTTTGGCCCCGTATTCTGGGAGAATCTTTGTAGTGAAAAAGGATTGCGGAGATTCCAGTTTTGTAACAAGTTTAAATCAACCTCCTTATTGTAATTTATTAACCAAGTAAATTTTTTTGATGGCTGATGCCAACAGTGTGTTCTTAGTACTCACAGTCAAATGAATTTTCACATAAGATTTCGACCATCAATGGGTTTTAAGCACATCCGAAATGGACCTCATATGCGTACATGGTTGTTGGGATTTGAGTAACTTCAACGGCAAGAATTGCTCTATAATAGCTTATAATAGCCAAAATGCCAGTTCTTTCCTACATGACATGAGGTACAGTCTCTTATCACTTGCCTTGACCCGGAAGGTCAGTGACTCGCCAACCTACTTGGTGCCGGTAAGCCACAGCTGACGCCCACATCCGACTCATCGTTGTCCATTTGAGCTGGTCGTGGCCCTTGACCTGCTTAACCTTTAACTTGGCGCCCGTAGCCATTAACCTTTTGACACCTTTCTGTAATATCTCTCACCGAGTTCTCAACTCTATCATCTCTCTTCACTTCTTTAACTATGAATAAATAAAACAGTAAAAATGATACCAAGCGGGTCTTCGTTACTCTTCATTTTTATTTAATTTCACAACTAACAAACTGTGAATTCACTGTATTGTATGTAAAAGAAAATATAGCAAAAAAACATCAAAACTTTCTTCATTGACATCCGTCGAAAGCATTAAAACTCATGAAATGTTTCTTTTCCTAGCTAGTAGAAGTTCTTGCCTTCGTAGGTCTGGCCAAACTGCCAATTCTTGGGGGCAACATTCACAGAGGTTATGGTTCTTCCATCACTCTCTCCAACCCTAAATGTCAGTGCATCCCCAGAAAGCTTAGCACCAGTGACCCACCTCTGACCCCACATTCGCTCCAGCTGCGTCCATTGAAGCTTCTCACCCTTCACTTCCACACTCGTCACATCCCCAGAGCCAGCCACATTCCAAACCAACACTTCATTGAAATAAGGGTTCCCAGTTATTGTAAACCTAATTCCTCCTTTCTTCTTGCATGGAACTCTTCGGTATTCTACCGGCACAATGCCGGCCTTGTGCTGGGCAACAATATTGAGGAAGACAGGCTTGGCTATGTCGAAATGCTCGCGTGGAGGATTGCACCATCCTCCATTGTCACTAGGCTGATTCCAATTTGGTGGGCAGTGGTTTGTTGCTGTGACTGCGAGAACTGGCTGCCCGGGTTTGCACCATTGAGGCGAGTCTACACATTTGATTTCGAAACATGAACCACATGACTGTCCTTTGTTAAACAATGCATCGCTTAACGCTACGGTTTCTAGGCCATAGCCTTCTTTAACAACGTCATGGTAACCACAAGCTCCACCTAGGATGTTGATTAAAAAAAATTCCATAAATTAGTCGCACAAATATTGTAAATATTATAATTAATGGAATTTCTGTCCTAATATAGAAGCAAGCAACCAATAAGCCATGTGTTATGGAAAAGAATCTCAAATTAGATAGGAAAATGAGTTTCATATGGGAAATATTCTTGCACGGCATTCTAACCGAAGGTGTATCATCACCACTCTTCTCAACACTTGACACGTATTCATATGCATAAGCATGGTTCTATAAATACAAAGTTAAAAAAAAAAGCTCTATTTGATATGGAGTTATACCTTGAGTTATTAAGGGAATATCTAAAAATTAGAGGGTTCGGATCATTGAAAAACAATATGTGGTGGGCCCTACAAGCCTCAAATAAGCTTATTTAAGGGATCCCTTAATAGAAGCTCAATATATAGAGTTTGTATTGGGAATCTATATATATAAAGCAAAAGACAGAGAATAGTGAAACATTCAAAATACTATAAAATGCCATTCGTTAATTCAAACATTAAAAATTAAAATTATTAATTAAATGAAGATAATATAGTAAATTCACATTTGTTCATATTAAAAAAAATTAAAATTAAAAACAAAATCAGATAATAGATCCTACTTTTATGGAACATAACCACCCATATTATCTTTTCTTATTTATTTATATATTTTTTTAAAACCAATTGACACATGCGTGAGCGTGTGCCAAAGAGCTAGTATATAGTTAAATGGAAGCCTATAATGACATCTTTTTGAACATAAATACGATATATACAAGTAGAATATCTGGATCGCTTAAGAGGATTGATAATTAATTCATACCAAAGGTTCCGGAGCCTCCTTCATAGAATGTGGCATGAGCGCGCTTCCAAGGGCTGGGCTTGAACCTTGGCCCCGCCTTATCGTGCGCCTCCTCGTCGCCAACAAGTACACGGTTAGCAGCAAAGACATGGACATGGTCAGGTAGTAGAAGAAGAAAGAACAGGAATGACCCCAAGAGGGCTTGCAAAGGCAATGTCTTCATTGTCATGGCGTTTGCACTCAGTGACGACATTGGCATGGCCATTAATTAATTGGTATATATTTTTGTTTCTCAGTTTTTTTTTTCTTTCTTTTTTTCCAGTTGTTAATTTCTGGCACGGGTTGAGTATATATAGTACAAGATTTAACATATTATTGTAGCGGTTATTTCGGTTTAAGTAGTTGGAAGTTGATTTGTGCCACTAGTGATGGGAGGAGGTGAACATACTTCACCTCTCGACCTCTCTTTCAAATGCCACTGCTAGCTATATATAGGGCTTATAATCTGAAACATTCATCTTTTAGCTACCTTTTTTTGTTTTGGCAGATTGGGGGCTAAGGCCAAGAAGCAGCTAAACAGAAACAAACGCAGACTTTAAAGGCCACACCTCTATTTTTTATAGGTCCCACTCCCATTCGGTGATCCTTTCTATGCCTCGTTAAAATCTTGTCTTAAAAACTTCTTTAGGAGGAAAATTAGACAATACTTTGATGCACTCTTGTCCACCCCGCCATTTGTTATTAATGAATCTTCACCATTCACATATCATAACAAACCAAATTTAAGTTAAATTTGTTTGCTCTTTTGGTGAACGAAAACTTATATAATCATTAGTGAGGCTTTATGGACTTGTATGCCATTTTAATAATTTTTTCTATTCATATTGTCTATACAAACCGTGGCAAATAAAGCTCATCAATGCAACCCATGGCAAATCTCCAAGTCGCAATCTACATGTACTACGGAATAAAAAAAATTTCAAAATAAGAATAATCCACTGCCGGAAGTTGAATCTGAAATAAAAATAAAACAAATCTCAAGTAAAGTGTCCTAGCCCAAATCAAAAGGGTTGGATTAAAAAATTCACTCAAATGTCACAAAACTTAGAACATAGAGGAAAAAAAAAATCCTTTTAGGTGTAAGTTTCTTTGATATGAAATATGTAGAATAGATTGTCTCGAGCTCCCAACATTTTAGGGCCGAATTTGTTCTCTACTCTCAACTTGTATCCATATTTTATGAAAGTGTCCTTATAAAGTCATTTTTTAGTTAATAATAGTGAGTCTCATGTACATATTATAAGGAAGCATTTTTGCTCACCATTTTAACTAGATGTGTACTCTCACCACCCAACCCATGACTTGACATATGTCCATACCTATAACCTTGGTTAACTCTTTATTTTAAATCTTTTAAACTATTTAAAACTGTGGGGGCTTTTTCGTTCTGACAGCTACTGCGGGCCTCGGCTGTTATAAAGAGCCAAATGTGTGAAAATTGCCCCTTGGGTCTGAGTTCAAGAATCAGACCCCAAGAATATTTCGAAAAGGTAGCTGAGTCTTAGGAAGCACCTTGGTTGCCTTCACTAACAAAACTAACAGTCACTTACAGATAAATTCTTAGCTTGACATGAGAGGCTTGTGGTATGGAATCAAAACAATCATGAGTTTAGCATTAAAGAGAGAGAGAGCTGCGAGTTCCTATGAGAAACAGGGGTTCTAAGGAGAATGGGAAGATATTCTAAGTAGGTTTGTTGAAGAGAGAGAGGGATGAGGGTATATTGGGTATGTTGAGTAGTTTCCGGCAGCTCGACGAAAACTTTGTCAAGCTTTAGAATAGTTTACCTAAAGGGAAAATGGGGAGAGATGGAAGGATGGGGCTCGAAATTGCAGAGGTTTCAGAGGTGTGAGATAAAACTTGCTCTCCAGATGTGTGTTGTAGCTAGTGGTGAAGTATTGGGTGTTTTGGGTAATTTTCCAGCAGCTTGACAAAGGTTCTGTCAAGCTCTGGAATGACTTACCAAAAGAGAAAATGGGAGGAGATGGAGGAAGGAGGCTCGAAATTGCAAAGTTTCAGAGATGAGAGATGAAGCTTGCTTTCTAGATGTAGGGTTGATGGTTGTTGGGTAGGAGGTGCTTTATTTATAGCCGCTGGAAGCTCCTCATTTCCAAGAAATCCTAATGGTTTCTATCTAATTTGGCCAAGTCTTTCTCCTCATTTTTCTTCTCTTCTTTTGACTCATCATATTTGGTGAAACTTTCTCTGCCTAATTGCACAAAAACAAGGATTTTTGGGAGCTCTAGGGCTTTTCCAGCAGTTGTTTCAGTGGGGGACTCCCATTCTCAGCCATCCCCCCTTTTCTTTCCTTCATTCTTCTATGGGTAGATATGATGGGGAAAGAAATAGGTATGTACGCTGGTTTGAAGGGTGTTTTACTCAAGTACCCTTGGTTTTTCTGATGGCTTGCGTTGGGTTTGTCTTTGGCCATGTGTTGGAGTTTCCCAGCAGCCTGAGCATACAAACATCTCTCGGTTATCTATCGTGGTTTCGTTTCAAACCATGTGCTGAAGATTTTTTTGGATATTTTCTAACCTATTTGGGCCACTTGGGCATTCCTAAGGTCATGGGTTAGTGTATTAAGGGAATGAGCTAACCTCCTAAGTGATGGACCATTTTTATTGAGATGATGAGCTAATTTTTTCTAAAGTATTAGGCTATCTCTTCTAGAGTATTGGACTTTTTTCTCTCATTTATGCTTACCCATATATTTGGGCTCAAGAAATGTGCTTGAGTTTTGGGGCTCCCAAGTAGTCTAAAACTTCCATTTCTCGGCTCATGAATGGGCCTCATAAAAGCTCTTACTATCTATACTACAACTCACTTAGCAAGCCCCGGGCATTTGCGTGGCTTGGGCCCACTTAAGCTTGTAGCGTGGCTAAGTGTAATAATAATGATTTTAGCTTGGCATTGCATGTCATTGGCGTGCTTGAATTTTATCGCTTGAAAAGGAATATGACGTTTGACGGGATTAATTAGCTTGGGTTTATAGAGCCAGTGCTTATTTCGACTCTTAGCACGACAAATTGCATATTTATTTGACATGACATGTGGATAATGATTCGTGTGAGCGTGAATGACGAACTTTTGCATGTTCCAAATCAAGTCTTTTTTTAATAAGGCATTGCGGTGAGCCGGGAATTCATTTGGGCCTCAACAAAAACTAAATAATAAAACAAAATAATAACAAATTAGCCCCATATTTATTGTAACAAAAGGCCGATACTCTAAGAGCAGTCGTCCTACTAAGACTCTAGCGCTAGCTCATAGGAAAAAGGGAAGAACCACTTCTTCATTGTCTATTGCTCGGGTGATAGGAGCAGGAGACCTTAGCCCTGCAGGCAGCACTTGTAATATGTACCCTTATATCTCAAGAGAGGACTGCTACTACACGGACACAGACTCAGTTGTGCTTGGTCAGCCACTACCTAAAGAAGTGATTTCTTCTTCTGTCTTAGGTAAGTTTAAGCTAGAGGACAGAGTCATGAAAGGATACTTTTTAGCACCGAAATCCTATTGCTACATCGCAATAGGTGGCTCCAATATACTCAAGTACAAGGGACCAGCGAAAAACCAGGTCACATGCGTGAGCATGTGCCAATTGTTTTCTTTTTTCTTTTTTCTTTTATTTTTAGAATTAAGAAAAAATAACATGGGTAGTTATTTTCCATAAAAGTAGGACATATTATCTGATTTTGTTTTTATTTTTAATTTTTTAATATATAAAAATGTGAATTTACCATATTATCCTCATTTAATTAATAATTTCAATTCTTAATATTTGAATTAACAAAGGGTATTTTCTGGTATTTTGAATGTTTCACCATTTTCTGCTTTTGCTTTATATATATATATATATAAAATACTTAAAAACAAAGAAAAAAAAGTATATGTTTCCTTCTATCCCTCCCCCTTCGACCTCCAGTGACAAATGAGAGAGGGGAAGGATGGTTTCAAGATGCCAAGAATCTACAAATTCCAAGCACTTCAACGGCCCAATCTAAAGGATATTTCACATCCGAAGTTGGAAAGGTGACGATAGTGACGAACAAGAAGCCACCGTGTCTGACGGCGCCGCTAGGGTTAGGGTTTCTCGGCTTGTTGAAGAACAGAGATGACAATGACGAAACTACGGGTAAATTAGAAACTGTGACAGACATGTCCTTTTTCCTTTCCCATTTAATCTTTCTGAGTACTGAGGGTGAATGAGGAGAGGGAGAGAATGGTGGCCGGGTTGCTGAGGGAGTTGGGTGGTGAATGTACACACGTAGTTAAAGAGTGCCCATATTATACATGAGAGGAATTTCTAAAAACTACTTCATTAACTCTCTTTACATGATGAGGGTTAAATATGTTACAGTTTTTTCCTTCAAAAAATGAAAGAGGAAATTCACCCAAAAAATATAAAATTCCTACAATGGATAGCCAGCAAGCATATTTACAATTTTTACATACTCAACCATGAGGGGTCAAGAAGAAACCTGCAAGTTTTGTCTACTTGAAATTCTTGCCTTCGAAGGTCTGCCCAAACTGCCAATTGTTGGGGGCAACATGCCATGACGTTGAGTATCTTCCATCGCTCCCTCTGACTCGGAAGGTCAACGACTCACCGACCATCTTGGCGTCGGTCTCCCACTTCTGACCCCACAGCCGCTTCATTGCTGTCCATTTGAGGTTCTTGTTGCCCTTCACTTGCAAGCTCGTCACTTCACCAGCTCCTCCCACATTCCACACCAGCACTTGGTTGAAATATGGGTTCCCAGTTATTGTGAACTTTATACCTCCTTTCCTCAGGCATGGAACCCTGCAAATTATTCAAATCATATATTTACATTAAACCCTAATTAACTTTGATTCAAAACATTCTATTATCTTGACATTGCCATTACTTTCTGTCTCATTTCATAGGTGAGAGTTGGATCATAAAGCATTTTCAGTTGGAATAAAAGATATGGGTCTTATTGTAGTAGTTCTATTTACACCCCAAAATCTCATAACCGACCCAGATATTTTTCATGCCTATATCTCAACATTCCCATTAATTTTTCCATCCTTTTTTTGTTTTGATAAAATTTTCCATTTCCCACAAATTTTTTTTTCTTCATATTTTTATTTACCAAGGAGGAGTAGTAAAAAAGAAAGTAATTACATTTACCTGCGGTACATGATAGGAACAATGCCAGCCTTGTACTCGGCAATTTTGGCGAAGGCAGGCTTGGCTATGTCAAAATGTTCCCGCGGAGGATTGCACCATCCTCCATTGTCACTTGCTTGGTTCCAGTTTGGTGGGCAATTGTTGGTACCGGTGACCATGAGAGTTGGCTGCCCTGGCTTGCACCACTTAGGGTCGTCCACACATTTGATCTCGTAGCATGACCCGCATCCCTGCCCTTTGTTGAACAATGCCTCGCTCAATGCGGTTGTTTCTAGGCCATATCCTTCTTTTACCACGTCCTCGTATCCACAAGCTCCCCCTGCATTATTCATCAAAATCATTAGTCTTGATAATGATTTGATTGTTGGAGAATAAGTATATATCCTAATTGAGATCATATTAGTATGGAATTTGGTGTGTTACACTAAGAAATTAGAGTATAATGCTATATGTACCACATTATAAACAGAGACTAGAGATGTGGGTTTTATCTTTCTTAGAGAATAAAGAGGTGATTCACAGTGTGATACATAAATATGATAGAGATAGTTTATAAGTAAAAATTATAATTCTCTACGAATTTTAATTTTTACATGGTTGATCTTTAAAAAGAATAAAAATTGGGGATGAAGGTTTGAACTCATAGCTAGGTGGAAAGAAATATATTCATACCAAAGGTTCCAGAGCCCCCTTCATAGAATGTGGCATGAGCATGCTTCCAAGCACCGGGAGCGAACTTTGGCCTGTGGTGGTGGTTGTGGGCAACTACATGAATATCATGCCCATCGCCCTTTGAAAATTTGGCAGCCCTTCTCCATTCAACGGTTGCAGGGACAACATCAGCCACCAAACAAAGAAAAATGAGCAGCAACAAGCACATTTTATATGGCATTTTTATTTGTATGTAGAAGATTTGGTTCTTGGTTCTTCAATTCGATTTGCTTTAGATTCTTGTGCTCCGCCAGATTTTTATATGGTTGTAGAATTTAGGCAGTGTCACGATTAGTTCGGTTAACTTGGTTTTGGAAGGATGCAAGTGATCCGGGTCGTTACAATGCTGCTATTATTTCACAAGGATAAATATTTAGATATGAAGATATATAGTAGTTTCTATAAATTAACAAAATTCTACAAACAGGACGTGAAAGTTTTTATTTAGCTTCTTCTGCTTTGTGGTATAATCGCATCGTTTCTCTAGGTTCCTCACAAGGTCTACGGTGGCACCTACCCAACAGCAAGCCGTTGATCTTATATCGGTCGTCAATGTGACTGAAATCATCATCCACCAACCCGCGACCGCGATAAGCAATCGAGAGATATAATTTTAAAAAATTTGGTATATATAAGTCCAAAATCGAAAACAGAATTTGGATGAAAACAAAATATATGCAGCTCATGAGAATGTCTGAGAATTGGTCAGGTGAGTAGACTCTAAGAAGGGGATTCATGTAATAGTTTTCAATGAAATCACTGGTCCCTGCACTTAGAAGGTGAATAGCTCCAGATAATATGGCATTGGCTTTAGCTCCTCCCACCATACTCACCACTTCATTTTGATACTACCTGTAGTTATTCAGCTGCCCGGTCAGCGAAATGGCACCCTACAAAACCAAAGATGGATCATCATATCAACACGTGAGAGAGAGAGAGAGAGAGAGAGAGAGAGAGAGAGAATGTCTACATATAACCTATACTTGAAAGCAGCTCACGATTAACAAAGGTGGCTCTTCTCACTGCAATTTCGAGAGGCTAGAGGCGCTCTAGAGCCAGCTCCTTGGTTGTCTGGTTGATATTAGATACAATGGGAGCATTCACAACATCTTTCGTGTTCAAACTCAGCCAATTAAATGGAAGTGGTAGCATTGACAAAGATCTTTCACGCCCAAACAGTAATTCCACCGCAGCATATTCAATACAACTAGATCATATTAACCCATCATCCACTTGGAGTGCATGTACTTGAGCCACATTAGAATCAGAAGGAAGATGGGGCACTTCCCCTCCGATTGAGAATGGTGCTGGGCCGAGCACAACTTCTGGAGCAGCCGGTTCAGATCAACCCCAAAGGTGACATTTCCATGTGCATGACTCCCAATGAAATGAGGATCTTGAGTATATCTTTTCTGTGTGCGATCCCTTCTCCTGGTCTCACCATAGTTTATTTATTTATTGAAGGGAAGCTGCAGATTTAGGTATTTATAATTTTAAAATACTCGAATTAACCCAATAGAATTCCTTATAGTAGCATTTGAAGGTGAGACAATTTCCCCGCATTTAGGATAATTCGGGAAGTGATGGAACCATAGTGTAAGTTTTGAAGACAACGCAGCACAATCAGGCAAAAGGTCGAGATCAGACAATGAGGAATTCAGCAAAAGATTTTAGTTGCTTTGGTTGGTTCGTGTCCAGATTGTTGTATCCCCTTTTTTATTCTAAAGTTGTTCACAGACACGATCACAGGCACGCACTCTAGTAAAGAATTTAACAATTTCACGTTTAATACTCGTATTGTACTCGTACATACATATTTTTCATGTTTAATACACTTGTTTGTTACAAAATTTTCAATATTATACAAAAAAGTACTCACATATTATTGAATAAAAATAAAAATAAAAATAAAAATAAAATAAAATAAAATATTTAAATCCTAATTATTTACTAAGTAAATAATATTTAAAACATAACTATTAATTAAAGTAACTGAAAAAGAGAAAATCAGATTATGGTATTCAATGGGTATAGCCGCACGGCTACACTTTAAAAACATTTCTATTTAAACCGTACAGCATGGCAGCTATACTGTTGAAAAATTCTATTCATGGAGTATAGCCGTTGCGCGACACATTTGAAAAATTATATTTATTAGTATGGCCGCACAGCTATACGCTTTTCACAAAACAAGCGCTAAGCGCTAGGCTTTCCGGAAAATAAATAAATAGTATATACGACCAGCTATACTCCGAATTATTTACAGGGGTCATAGTGTCGCCGTGCGGCTATACTCCTTATAGGGGGCAATGCTTGCCTCAGAGTGGAAGGAAACCAGAGGAATTTGCTCATATGGCAGCTTGTGCTTCATGATGAACTCCTTTCGCTTCTCATAAGTAAGATCCTCCAGTGCCCGAATGTCACCCTACAATGCAAATATGAATTGAGATGTTTCCAAACACAACTTGTAATTCTCCACTTGTTCAGTATATACACAAAGGACTTTCAACAAGCTCAGATATTGGTGCTATTGCCTTAATTAGCTCTAATATCAAAAGCTCCATGATACTTCGTGCTTCTTTGTCCGCAATCTGACCTCGCGAAGAATATCAGAAGCCAAGGGTGTGCCATCATAGGGGCTCTATACCAGTGCTAAACCAGCAACTTTGTCTTTCAAATCACACCAGTAGATTGACAATGCAGCTGCAGCATCAACGCCGCCCTTGCTGTGCCCCAGCAGCATCACACACTTACTGGATCCCCAGTAAAGCTCCTCAATGTATTGCTTGAGTTCCCATGCATTGTGCTCAACAGATGCCTTCATACAAGAAAACATATGAAAGGGGAAGACAAATTTCACAAAACTCCGTCAGCAATGATCACAGAGTAATGACTCATTACCTCACTGTGAATTTTTGCAATATGGCAAGCTAGACCCATCTTCGAAAAGAATTTCTTTGTTCCAACAAAGTATAAGGGGCCGTGATTGCTATAGAGGCCTGGAAAATCAAAGATCCCATAACTATAGGTGCCACAACGCTAAATGTCGACTGAACAGGGGATAAGAACAAAGTCCAAAGAGAAAAATAAATTTTCTTTACCCGGAATAAGCAGATAGACAAATGAGCTAGGCAATGTGTGCTCCCCATTCCTGAAGTATATAGCATGACATACAAGCAATAGGAATATACAAGAATAGACTAAACAGATATGATAACAAATTGAACACAGTTCCTTAACAGGGCCAACCATCCAGTGCAGTGGAGCTATTATATTAGCTTGGTACCTTATTCCTGCAAGCAACTCCAAGAATCTTGCTGTACCATCTTCCACACCAAGCATGCCAGGAGTGCGCGGTAACCATCCAATATCGTCAGATGAACCTTGCAATGTTTTCTGTACTCGAGATACCAGGCTGACAAATGCAAAAATGAAGCTCAACTATGAGAACCTAAAAGAATGAAACAATGACTTGTAATTAAAAGCAATGAATTATTTGCACTGAGTAAAACAGAATCCAATCTGAACTAAAACTAAAAGAAACTATTCATAGACTCTTTGGAATACGAGTCCATCAGTTTGCATAATTGAAATATACTTCTTTTACCTACAAATTTGAAGATGAGCACATCTAACGTACACGACAGAACTTCTCCAACAAGAAATTGCCAATCTCTAAGCAAATTGTTAACCGTGTAATGGTAGTGTCAACCTACATCAAGATGAAGCAACATCACCAATCTAACAATGGAGATGACTAGATTGAGATTCGAGAAATGCAAAACAGTTACAGTAAGTCATACTTCTGATAAACACTTTGTAATTAGAAAGGGAAGGAGGTGAAAAAGGTTAAATATTACAATTAATCATTCAGTTCACTTAAAAGTAGATGGGCTCATGATGTTTTCTCATGAAAACTAGATTAATTGCCTGACCTCAGTTATTTAATGCATACTCAAGTCTTCAAAGATTGATATTGAAGAAAGCTAATAGCACAAAACGGTATTACCCTTTAAAAATGAGGGGGACATCTGTATAATTGAAATTGGTTTCTACAATTTTAGATCTTGTATTTCCATAGGCTCTGAGGCTCTTCTTTCTCTGGTTTCAGGGTTACAAGGTTTTGAAGGTGATGAACAACCTTCAGAAAATGATTTACAAATGCCGTGTCTCAATGATCTTAAATGCTGTCCTGCAGAAATGACCAGCAAATCATCTGAGTATCTATCAGCATCTCTGACCGCAAGATCCTCTGCAATAACATCATTTCCAAATCCATCCATAACATTATAAGAAGATGCATGAGTGTGCATACATGTAAGAATAGTAGAAAGAACTCACCTATAAATTGAATAAATCGACGACTTATATAACTAGCCAGTGTCAATAGACGGGTGAAAATGTCATCCATTGAAGAGTAGAATCCCAGACTATCAAAAAGAAGACTTGCGCTCCACACAGTATCATTATAGGCCTGATACAAGGACCTATATTAGATCTTTAAGCACAAGGTCTGAATCAAACTGACAAAACTAAAGATGCCATAACCTTATTCCTTATGTGGGATAACATAAAAAAGAAATTAAAAAAATCGATAAGCTAATTATAATTTCTTAGCTAATCTTGATCAAGAATAAGAAACTTACAATGGAGAAGAGATACAACAAACATACAGAAAAAGTAGAGATAATTTGCAATAATGCACAATCGTAAAGTTGAAAATTACTCAGTGCGAGAGGCATTTCAGATATTTCATTTTCAATATAGACATCACCTATTAATTCTTCGAATCCTGAATTATGCAACAAAACTATTAAGGTGATGCTACAAGACAACTTAAAAGGACGAAACTTTGACACAATCAGTATATAACAATAAGAACCCAGATGAGTAAATCAATCATATGATGAGAAATACACAACAAATCATCCCCATTCTTTCAACATACTGAACTTAACTAACTCATCATCAAAACAAAATGTAATAAAGATATCAGATAGCAACTTACAGTCAAAGAAGGACAATCTGCAGAACCCAGAAACAGCCTGTGGCTCAGCAGACCCTAAACCCGGGAAATGGCACACGTACCTGGAAAAAATGCGACAGACCCACCCTGGCACCCAGACCCGCCTAGAGCCGCCCAGAGCCGCTTAGTGCCGCCTAGACCAGCCAAGCGCCGCCTAGACCCGCCTAGCGCCGCCTAGACCTGCCTGGCGCAGCCCAGACCCTCCTAGGGCCGCCCTGACCTGCCCAGGCTGATTTTTTTTAAACCTCTCACTACGACTATTCGTCGGCACAGGTTTATCCCGGCCGAATTTGCAATATCTCCCGACGAAATTGCTTTGGCAGAGTTCGGTTTCGTTGGGAGAGGTCTAATCCGTCAATCGCCGGGTAGAACTTTGCCGACGAAAGTTCGTCGGTAGAGGTTTTCTCTCTTTTTAAAAATAAAAATAAAAAAATTTTGAATTTTAAACAAATAAAATTAGTTTCCTTACTCTTTTTTTTTGCCAACTTCTTTAGTTTAATATATGTAATTAAGTAATATTTTAGACTTTCTTAATTACTTTTATTAATAATTATTTCTTTAGTGAATATTTAATTATTTTATTCATTTCATAAATTACTTAATAAATAGTAATTCATTATTTTAAATTATTTTGTGGACTTAAAAAAAAAAAAAAATTACACAAAATTAATTTGGATAAATCTAAGTGTTGAACCAAAAATCCTAGCTTCCGAACTTGTACCAAAACCTTTCTCGAGCCTCAAACCCTAATTATAAACCTATTGAGGAGTAGGTGCTTTCTCATCTTATCCATTATGGGACTCAAGTTCATGTATTCCAACAAGTAGTTGATATTATCGAATCACGTTGCGACTTGAATTTAAGTTTCGAGGTTAAAATTCATTTTTGGAATACTAAAATATTTGGGTACCAAAACCGAATTTCTAGGATTTTTATTAAAATATTTAATACTAATCTCTAGAATATGGAGTTTCACTAAAACACCCAAAATGGGGGTTGAAATTATAAAAAAACTAAAGTACTATTTAAACATATAAACACACCCAAAACCTATCATTACACACACTCAAAACTTATTTATAAACACACCCAAAAAGTTGACTTTGGGGTTGATTTTGGGTGTGTTTCTATGTTTAAATAGTACTTAAATTTTTTTATAAATACATGTCTAGGATTTGATTTATTTATAAATTTGTATACTAATTATTCAGCAAAGAAATAATAATTAAAACATAATAATTAATTAAAGTATTTAAATAAGGCTAAGATATTATTTAATTAATAAAAAAAAGGATATTTTAAGCGAATAGCCGCGCGGCTATTCTGAGAGTATAGCTGGGCGGCTCTACTCTAAAATAAAAAAGTGTATAGCCGGCCGGCTTTATAGAGGTCTTTTTATTTATTTATTTATTTTAATAAATAGTATAGCCGAGCGGCTATACGATTTACAGGGTGGAAAGAAACTAGAGGAATTTGCTCAAATGGCAGCTTGTGCTTCATGATGAACTCCTTTTGCTTCTCATAAGTAAGATCCTCCAGTGCTCGAATGTCACCCTACAATGCAAATATGAATTGAGATGTTTCCAAACACAACTTGTAATTCTCCACTTGTTTAGTATATACACAAAGGACTTTCAACATGCTCAGGTATTGGTGCTACGACCTTAATTAGCTTGCATATCAAAAGCTCCATGATCCTGTGGGTTTCTTTGTCCGCAATCTGGCCTCGCGAAGAATATCAAAAGCCAAGGGTGTGCCACCATAGGGGCACACGTGCTAAACCAGCAACTTTGTCTTTCAAATCACACCAGTAGATTGAAAATGCAGCTGCAGCTGCAGCATCAACGCCGCCCTTGCTGTGCCCCAGCAGCATCACATGCTTGTCGGATCCCTAGTAAAGCTCCTCAATGTATTGCTTGAGTTCCCATGCATTGTGCTCAACAGATGCCTTCAGCCAAGAAAACATATGAAAAGGGAAGACAAATTTCACAAAACTCAGTCAGCAATGATCATTACCTTACTGTGAATTTTTGCAATATGGCAAGCTAGACCCATCTTCGAAAAGAATTTCTTTGTTCCAACAAAGTATAAGGGGCCGTGATTGCTAAAGAGGCCTGGAAAATCAAAGTTCCCATAACTATAGGTGCTACAACGCTAAATGTGGATTGAACAAGGGAGAAGAACAAAGTCCAAAGGGAAAAATAAATTTTCTTTACCCGGAATAAGCAGATAGACAAATGAGCTAGGCAATGTGTGCTCCCCATTCCTAAAGTATATAGCATGACATACAAGCAATAGGAATATACAAGAATAGACTAAACAGATATGATAACAAAATTGAACATAGTTCATTAACAGGTCCAACCATCTAGTGCAGTGGAGCTACTGTATTCGCTTGGCACCCTATTCCTGCAAGCAATTGTATTTATAGAGTATAGCCGTTCGGCTATAAGTTTGAAAAATTCAATTCATATAGTATAGCCTCGCGGCGATACTCTTTTCAAATAGGCGGGTCCTTTTTTAATTTATAAATAAATAGTCTCGCCATGCGGCTATAAGCCGAATTTTTTTATTTATATACAAGAGTATAGCCGCACGGCCTTACTGGGGCCGTTTTTAATTCTTTTTTATAAATAGTATAGCCGAGCGGATATACACGTTACATAGATACTGTGATATTTCTTTCATAATTGTTTTTCCCTGATTTTTGTATATTGATAAGAGTAGTTTAGAGAATTATTCATTATTATTAGGCAATTACCCAAGTCTCTATTGTCCCATTTCGAGGTTTTACTTTTCCAAAATTATTACCCGTATAAAGAATTTAGATTTTTCATGTTTAATACACTTGTTTTTTTACAAATTTTTCAATAATACACACAAAATTCACATATTATTCACAAAATACTCACATATTATTGAATAAAAATAAAATATATTTAAATATATAAATACTAATTATTCACTAAGATGGGCTATGCAAACCTTATTGGTCTTATACTTTATGTGCATACTTATATAACGTGCTTGAGCATTCTAACACTGAGAACATCCTGTAGAACTTTTTTTTCTGCTTGTGGAAATGGATGTTTGACCCAGTTATGCCAGTATTAAATTGAGAGATACATGAGTCAGGATTATTTATCTGTAAATTTGTAGGTTTATATTTTATGTTTTGTTCTGTTTTCTTTTCTTTTGTAGATGGATAAAGAGCAAGTTGTGGAAAAACCTCATCCTTTTTATTTAGAGTACATTGATTATGTCGTGCTGTAATTTTCAGTGACGTTACTTTTCAGCATGTGACTTGTACTCAAACCAAAATTAATCTTGCGGAAAGATTTGTGATTTCCTTTTAAGACATTTCAGTACAAACACTACATGGTGAATCTCTGTACTATATGCATTTGATGTTTGTTCCTTCTAAAAGATTTTCATGAGAAGTATGCATGTTTTAATGTCAAGCTCTGAGTATCGATAATTATTTCAGGTTTCTAGATTACTTTATACAAATTCAGGACTTTCCATATTGGCATTATCATCTAATGCTGTACACAAGCTCTGGAAATGGCAAAGAAACGAACGAAACACGACTAAGGTATTAGAATTCCTAACAGAGATGGTTGCATTTTGTAACTTTCTATGTATCCTTAAGCTTGCCATTTACTAAAATGTTTGTTTCTTGTAGGCCACAGCTAGTACTGTACCACAATTGTGGCAACCTGCAAGTTCAATATTGATGACCAATGATATAAGCGATACAAACCCTGAAGATGCTGTTCGATGCTTTGCACTTTCAAATAAGGACTCATATGTTATGTCTGCTTCAGGGGGGAAAATATCCCTTTTCAATATGATGACATTTAAGGTAGGTTGTTTCCTCTGAACATTCCTCTCGTTCGACATATCTAGCGCACTGGTTGATTAATTTAAGATAAGATGCTGAATATGCATCGTCTATGAAACTTTTGAAGTGCCATGCGTAAGACAATCTAAAAAGACAGAGGTGCTTCTGTACCATCCTTCAAAATGCTTACTCCACCATCTACTTTGCACACACCTATTGAAAATTAGGGGAAAAAAAAAAGAATCAGATTTTTCAATCTACCCACCAATTAATATTTCTTCCATCCAAATTTACAATGTTCGGGTTGATGAGGTCTCTGTTCACTGAACTTAAATTTGTCAGTTTGTGATGATATCTGGAATATGGGATTGCTTATAATCTGGCTGCTCCTCTCACAGGTTAAAACCAAGCTAAAAGGTCATCAAAAAGGCATAACAGGCCTTGCCTTTTCTCATGTTCTTAATGTGCTTGTATCGTCGGGCTCTGATTCCCACGTATGAATGTGCGAGTCTATATCTGTGCATGTCACTGTGCCTTTAAGGCTATAAGCAATGAACTAGTGACTAACAGAAGTAACTTATCACAAGTAGCCAAGCCAAATTTT